TTTTAGGGACCCTCATCCTCAGAGAAAAAAAAAAACTTGTTCATGAAAACTCGGGTTCTCCCTGAGGCTGTTTTAGAATTTTTCCCACCACCCCCTATTTTTTATAAATTATTTTATTTAAAGACAAAATACACGACAAAACATTTACAAAAAACGAACAAAGTAAAAAAACATAGGTATATATATAATATATATATATATAATATAATATATATATTATATATTATATATATAAATATATAAATATATATTTTATATTTTAAATGATAACAATTAGCATCTTGAGCGATCCACGGGGCCCCTCCCCCCCCCTCCTCCCTATCCCTCCCCTCATCCCAGCCTAGGGCCATGACTTTTCCCGCCCAAGGGGGTTGCTGTTTAGTGCCCCCCCAATTACAAATTTCCCCCGCTCCCTACTCCCACCACCCCACCCCCCTGCAACCCCCGTCCTTTTCCCCCGTCAAACCCCCATGCGCTCTTTCCCCCCCCCAAAGAATCAGCAATGTTTTACAAGTAGCGGGGGTTCCCAGGAATCTTCACGACAGGCAAAGCGTCGGCACGAGGCATCTGCCGGTTGTGCCACAGGGAATTGCATCAATCCCACAACTGGCAAATCCTCACACAATGGATGTCAGGCCCCGCAGAGCTCCAAATAGAACAACCAAAAGCCTCCCCCCCAACAGGGCTGACAGCTACCCCGACTTCACCCCTACGAGAACATCAAAAACTGCAATCAAATTAACCCTCCACCAGGACTCTGACACACATCCCCAAAGCACTGCCCCCCAAGCTCTACAAATTCCTGCCTTCTTTAAAAAGTCAAAAAGAGCCCTTCAAACAACAGTCCTGGCCAAATGGCTTTTTTTGGGAAAAGCCCCGTTTGGCTTCCCACCAAAAGGGGGACAATCTTGAACACTGTTATTAAGGGAATAAATGCATCCCAAGGGATGACAACCTCGTCCGTCTCCCCCCCTAGGCGAAAAACCCCGCCAGGCAAATCCAACCACGGACACCAGAGCTCAAAAATCAGAGCCCCAAAATTTGCAAAAAAATGAAGAGGGTAACACTATTGGGGGTCGAGGGTTTTTAACCTTTAAGATACCCTCGCTCCCAAGGACGCAAGCACGGCACAAGCTCTGAAGGACAAACATCCACCCAGGGCTCCCAGTACCAACACTGACCTCCCTGACATTGCAGCAGGTGAAGATCATCTAACCTTACAGGATGCTGATGTGTATAAAGCTGCTATGTCATTTCCACAGGGTTCAGCAGGAGGTTTCACCGGTTTAAGGCCTCAACACTTAAAACAAATACTCAATCCAGCACTTGGTGAGGTTTCAGAGAGGCTGCTGTCTGAACTCACCAAATTTTCCAACCTGTGCCTGGCTGGCAGTGTCCCAGAGGCCATCAGACCCCTTTTCTTTGGTGCCTCATTGTGTGCCCTCCGGAAAAAGGATGGCGGAATCAGGCCCATTGCAGTGGGTAACACCCTTCGGCGCCTAGTCGCCAAGGCTGCAGTAAGAAGGGTGAGTCAAAAGGCTGCTGCAATGCTGAAACCAACTCAGCTCGGTTTCGGCATTTTACAGGGCTGTGAAGCAGCTGCCCACGCAGCACGAGTATATATCAAAAACATGTTCGATGAAAAAGCCATGGTCAAATTGGACTTTGCCAATGCTTTCAACTCAGTCAGAAGGGATGCTGCTCTCCAAGCAGTTTATAGAAACTTCCCTTCCCTTTATCCCTTCATAGAATCGTGTTATAGTGTGACTTCCAAACTATTGTTTGGGGACCATGAAATTGACTCAGGTGAAGGCATGCAACAGGGAGACCCTCTCGCCCCCTTTCTATTTTGTTTGATCATCAAGGAAGTCACAGAAGCACTCTCCAGCGAGCTCAATATCTGGTTCCTGGACTATGGTACCCTATCAGGCACAACAGAATCTCTCCTATAGGACATCAGTAAAATTAAAGACATGGGAGAAAGCCTGGGCCTTTCTTTAAACCCCACCAAATGTAAAATAGTTCTACCAATCAACAAATGATCCAGAATATTAGCGCTGTTTTACCAGGAGCACGAGCCATTGATCCAGCCAACAACACTCTCCTCGGTGCACCTCTTGGGTCCAGTGCCATCGATCTGATCCTAGAAAAAAAAGTCTCAGACCTCCGGAAGATGGAAAGCAACATGAAAGACAATGACACACATGATGCCTTCTACCTACTCACCAGGTGCCTGTCAATCCCAAAACTTACCTACTTTCTGAGATGCTCCCCAGCCTTCAGCAGTCCAAAACTCAAGGAATATGACTCTTTCCTTAAGACCATGCTAGAGAGTGCATTGAATCTTTCCCTTGAAGATGGACAGTGGTTGCAAGCCTCATTTCCGGTCAGGCTTGGAGGGCTAGGAGTACGCAGATCCTCCCAGATTGCTCTACCAGCTTTCCTATCCTCTTCCATAGCATCAAACGTGTAGAAAATACACTATATATTTTCCAGAAATTCAGTATTTATATGTAAATAGATTGCCATACTGTATTTAATAATATTTATGTCATAGAAAACGGAAAGCCTGCGTCGGTGCACACGAGACTCGCCATCTTCGTTTTGAATTTTGTACAAACGTTGGTGAATGGGAAGAATTTTTCGTGCTCTAGAGGTTAAAATTGTGTTGACACCTGTCAAATAAGAGACGAAATTGGTGGATGTGCATTCCTGCATAACTTGAGATATCAGACGACTGGACAAGACAGCTCCAGGAACTTCAGATAAGCTCTCTAGATTTGTGTGTAATTCTGGCCAGCATTATTTTCATAGATTTAGTTAGAGTGAGGTTTTCTGAGTATGATACACATTAATCTCCAGTCAAATTGGTGAGTGACATTAAGATATATTTTCCTTCTGTTATGTAATTGTGTATATATATAACCATTTATTATTTTTAATATACAGTCCACAAATTTATATATTTACCAGTATTCCTGGTGTATGTATATTTCATTTAATTAATAGGTCCAGAGCAACTTGTGGATATGACAGTGGTAGGTATCGAAGGGGTACATTTTTTGCGACCTAGGTGTCCCAAATTCCTACTTGTCTATGTAACATTGATAAATAATAATTATCTTTGTTATCATTTACTGTTATGTACATAATTAGTTACATTCAGATAAATGCAATTTTCCACAGAACGAGTTGATAAGACAAATTCTTCCTGATACCCTCAGCAACTCAGCAGGAATAGAAGACCCTAGCTATACCAGTGCCATCACCGAATGGGAGACTCTTGCTGCTCCAACACCAAACCCTAGTGCAGCACTGGCTCACAAACAGTCAAGCTGGGATGGCCCGATCGCTGAAAAGGTGCTTGCCAACATGCTAAGGGCTGCAACATCAGATAGGGAGATTGCCCGTCTCCAGGTTGTGAGTGCACCTCACTCCGGGGACTTCCTCCAAACAGTTCCCATATCGGCAATGGGAACGCGACTCGACCCTAAGACCCTCCATATTGCAGTGGCTCTGCGCCTTGCTGCTCCAATTCACACAGAATATACGTGTATTTGCAGCGAAGCACAAGTCTACATGGTCTTAACTGTTCCAAAACCAAGGGCTGGCATGCAAGACACAATGAGGTCAACGACATCATTAAGAGAACCCTTGCTACAGCTGGATGCCCAGCCGAGAGGGAGCCCCGATCACTAGCAGCCAACAATACCCACAACTCAGCAAACCGCCCCGATGGAATCACCATCTATCCTTGGAAGAATGGCAAGCTATTAGCATGGGACTATACCTGTGTGTCCACACTGGCTAACACCTATATCCATCACAGTGTGGGGCAACAGGGAGGAGCTGCTGACCATAGGGAGGAGTACAAGATCAGAAAGTACAGGGACACAAGCCAACAGTATCAATTTGTCCCAGTGGGATCAGAGACCTTGGGATAATGGGGAAAAAATGTCATGCGTTTCCTTAAAGAATTGGGTTCCAGACTCATCGACACCACCAGGGACCCAAGGGCAGCCGCTTTCATGTTCCAGCGCCTCAGCATAGCCATCCAGAGGGGAAATGCTTGCTGCATACTTGGCTCGCATCCAGCCTTTGAGGAGCTGGAGGAAATTCATGATCTTTGATACATTGTACCATTGTATTCATGTTTGTTTTTTTCTGTAAATGTATTCTGTTTATTAATAAATGTTCACATAGAATATAAAATATATAGGGGGTGGCAGGAGAAGAAAACATTTAAACAGCTCTGGGGAGAACCTTGAGTTTTCCCTGAGGTACGTTTATTGTCTTCTCTGAGGATGAGGGTCCCCATTCCAGCTATAGAGGTGGTACTTCCATATATATATATTATATATTATATATATATAATATATATATATATATATATAATATATATATTATATATATACACATATATATATATATGTATGTCGTGCCGAATAGGCAGAATTTGCGATCTTGGCTTAAATAACAACGTTCATCTTGCCATATAGGACAAGTGAAAATTTGTGTATGCAATAATTTGGCCAAAAACATTCTGAACCTAACGAAAAAAATATATTTCACTGTTTGATTATTATTAAATTATTGTAAACAAATCTAAAATATATTTAGCTGGGTTAGGCTAAAATAAATTGCTCTTGTTATAATAAGGTTAGGTAAGTTTTCTAAGATTCTTTTGTTGCAAAATTAAAAAATTTTACATTAACATTAATGAAAAATATATATCTTTAAACGTATAAGAGAAAATTTTAGAAAGGACTTAATTTTAAATGAGTTCTTGCTAATTGACCAGTTTTACATATTCGGCACGACATATATATATATATATAATATATATATATATATATATATATATATATATATATATATATATATATATATATATATATATATTGAGAGTGTGTGTATGTATGTATGTATGTATATAGCAAACATATAGTCAGGTATTAACAGTGTGCTTTAATATTTATGGGTGTGATGGGACACTGCAGATTGGATCTCACATCATCGGGAGATCCTTCAGTGATTGGCTTGGCCTGGGTCGGTGGAATGTGTCGTCCTTCCATCTCATGCACCATGAATGAAGGTCGTTCCTTTGTCGCTGTGTACGTTGTGGCTCATGAGATGGGACACAAGTAAGTTGGTACCTTAAATGTGTAACACTGATGAATAGTGGATGTCTTAGTTTATACCAATTGAATAGTGGATAACTAAATAGGGACTCTACTGAACAGTGGTCGTCTGAGTGGTCAGCATTGTTAAATAATGGCTGTCTTAGAAGTCAATACCGTGGAACAATGGCTGCCTTAGTAGTCAACACTGTTAAGTAAATGTTGTCTTAGTGGTCACTAATATTAGTGTTTTAGTGAATATGATTAAAAGTTGGATCGCTGTAGCTCTCAAGTTATCATTCCTTGCAGCACACTTATTTTCACTAATAATTAACATAATATTGTTAACTCTTCCCAATTTGCTTTCAGCTTAGAAAAGTACAAATGATTAAAAATGTTTTATGTTATAAGACATCCTCCATGACCATCCTTGAAAGGATTTCCAGAACATTTTTTCCCCTTCTTCTCTTATATCTTCCTGTAACTTTTCATTTTTAACTCATCACACGAAAAGCTCTCATTCGACCAGCTTGAGTTCTTCAACGTTAGTATGCAGAATCTAGAGCAAGATACTAGAAACATTTGACATCTACAGGTTCCTTATGACTAAACTTATAGAGGTTCCCAGCATCCTGGAATGCCTCAGTAACTTTCAAAGCTCTGCGATGTAGTCTTAAACATCGACGCCGAAGAGAGAAATTCAAGCGTGTAGATGCACCTCTGTCAGTTTTATGTGTAACATAATGTTAAATTTTGATTTCATTTCATCTCATTAACAATATTTGAGATTTTGTCATTTGAGTGGCGTCAGTATTTAATGGATGATAAAACTTAAGGCAAAATTTGTCATTGTAATAAATTAACTGATGAAATTTCGAATTCTTTAAATTGATTTGATAACTGGAGAATTCCTCTTCTGATCGGCATCAAATTTTCAGTCCTGGAGGTTTTTTTTTCCAGAAAGTAATTTTGGCATAGTCACAATTTGCCAATTATATTTAATAAATATTGGTACTAAAGGTCGCCTCGTCTCACCAGCTTAAAAATATTAACACTGATGCGTTCCATAAGAAGACTGCCAACTTAGTTTCGGCTGTTATGCTGTGAAATTGAAATTTTATTGAGACTGTAAAAAAAAATCTTGGAATCGTTGTATTTAGAAGAATAAGCAGAGCTTCTTGCCTAGCTCCATAACCTTCACTGCCCATGTATCCTCATCCCAACCTGCCCTCCCGAACCTACCATCCCCTCCTCTGCTTCCTCGAATCAAGACTGAGCATAATCCCCTTCCCTACCACGAAGTCCATCCTCCACCTGTATCCCATCACCACTGCTCCAGCTCCTGGGCCAAGGTTAATCCAGCCCCATTTCCTCAGATCAAGACTAATCACTATCCAATTCCCTACCTTCCAAAACCACAACTGCTTCAACTCCTTGGATCAAGATACCTATGCTCTACGTCCTCTGATCAAGACCTACACATCTTCCAAGTCCCTAAAAGTTTCACCTTCCACTCCCAAGACCATCATCAAAGCCACTCATACTTGGATGATGTTCTTTGTCTTTGGCCTACAGATCACAATATTGATGAGCTCTTACCTAGACTAAGTGGTTTAGTATTTTCCATTAAGTTCACAACAGAACATGAAATAGACAACAATCTACCTTTCCTAGATGTTTTAATCCATAGTGTTGACGGAAGATTCAAATTCACAGTTTACAGGAAGTCAACCAGTGTGTCATCATACATTCACTATTATTCCAGTCACAAGTATAAAATTAAAAGAAGTGTTTTCCTTACAATATTCCTGAGAGCCTTGATTATCTACTGCCCAGAGTCATTAGAAGATGAAATTAACAAGAAATATAATATAACTACAAAACTTAGGTATCCCAGGGATTTTGTTGAGAAGGCCCAATGGTCAGCTGTTGCAACTCCTGAATGTGTCACAATGTATATAATGTATATTACCTTTTCATATAATTTTATATTGCTTATATTTGCGATAATAGCTAAATCGTAACTATATTGCTTTATATTATTATTTGACTTAGTTATATTGTTAGGTAGGATGTAACATTCATATATTATTATTATGTGCTCATAGTTCAAGTCTTGATTGTCTAACTACTGTAATTATCGCTCATGGCTCGTTACTCTGCCGGCTTCTCGGTGTTGCTGGGCAGCAACTGTCCAATAAGCAATCACGTGATCGAGGGGGGGGTTCACACCTCGCCTGAAGTAGTCAGTCTGGGCTAGACTCTCTTGGTGGTTGGACGTATTCCTGACAAGACATGCTTAACTCTCCCTTATTGGCCCTTGTTGGAGGATCGTCTCTGTCGCTTTCTTGTTGTTTGTTCTGTAGAACTGTTCACAGAACATTGTCTAGACTTAGTGATTTTCGACGTTGTACTGAGGTTGTGTGTCTCATAGACACTCTGAGCAACTCAAGTCCTGAGCTGTAGCTTCTGACCTAATTTGTACTGGTATCTGTGTACTGTCACAGTCGGGGATTTTCTTATGCTGAACTTAGATTCAGTAGTATGGGAGTTTTGTGACTTTTGTGGAGGATCTGCTGATGGTCCCTACTTAGTGTCGTTATATTATCTCCTTGTTCTGATTGCCAGGTGGTCAAGAAGTTAGTCGATGTGAGGACTTTGTCAGTCACTGGTTTAAGTCTAGTCGAGTAGTGAGACATAGCGAACTACTTAGAGCACTTATACACGTACACACAAACTTATTTGTATATTGTATTATTAAATGTTAATATACCAGACGGTACTTAAGATGTATAAATGTGATATGTGCCTTCAGCACAATACTACTGTACTCGAGAGAAGTGATTATTATTAATTTGTTTAAATTGATTAATTTATTTTAATTTGATAATATACTCCTAGACAATTTTGTTTATTAATAAACTTATTAAATTTTAATTTCATTAGTTAGTAGCCTACCAGTTGTAATCCTGAAGCACTAATAATTCTTATTGAATTCTAATGGATAATTGGACAAGGATACTGACTACTTGTTACGAAAACCCAGTAACAGGCTGGATGCTAGTAGGGCAGTCATTTCTAGTATTCACTGGAGATCTCTAAGCTTATTAGAAATCGCGTTTTTTGTCACATCAGCTAGGAAGACTATCAACAGGACTGAACCTAAAGAAATACCTTCCATGAAAAAATGTACTGGTCTTACCTGACAATGAAATTTGGTCAACTTGCATGAGACACTGAAAATAATTCATATAAATATTATCTTTAAAAACAATGGCACAGTGAAACAGAGATTAAGAACACACCATCTCGTAGGGTTGGCGGTGTTCGAGAGGTTCCATGCAGACTTTGCCCTCTTTCATACAGTGCAGAAATTGGTAAACCACTGCAAACCATATAAACCCAACATCAGTACTCAGTCTGGACGGACCAGGAGTCGAATGTTGCCTTCAACCTTGTCAATTCTAGCAATCACCAATTGGGATCATTGTACCCAACAGTTCCGCTATGGGAAACAAACATAACTGAATCCTCGCCCTTGAAACATGATAGCAATGCCTTATATATCTCAAGTTGTGGGTTGTACAAACTCGATATTTAGTGGATTCTATTGTGCACAACCATAAGCAACAATGTTTTAAAAAAATCGCAGGATTGCTCATTATGCCACGGAGATTTGGGGAAATTAGACGATTTGGTGTTGTTTGACAAGGATTCTCCACACCTGTACTTGAGGGGGCGAGGTGCCTGGGTGAAGAACGGTGTCTGTGTCCTGATCATTTCGGAGAGAAACTGGTTGGCGTCACCACGCTACCTAACTCTGAATAACTTCCTCTCATTCCACCTCTTGTCACTCTTGCGACACGGCATAGCTCCTGCCGATGCACGGAGACGTGTAAAAGATCTGGATTTCTTGTCTTGCATCGTTAAGATCGCATGTCTCTGTATTGCATATATATATATATATATATATATATATATATATAAAATATATATATATATATATATATATATATATATAATATATATATATATATATATATATATATGAGCAAAAAGATCACAGTAAGCAGGTGATATCACAGTATGCAAAACAACCACTTTGAAGAAATAGCAAAATTCCAAGCACTTTCGTGACTTCTCACATTATCATGGAACTATAAAATTACAAAACATCAACAGGAAGGCATATAAAGGTTCAAGAATACACCTCACAATCACGTCACCACAACAAGACTACACCTCAAATCACGTCATCACAACAAGACTACACCTCAGAATCACATCACAACAAGACTACACCTCACGGTCGCATGACAACACACGACTCTGTAAAACACAACTGATACTCTATCCAAGCATTAAGATTTTTTACTTCTCTAATGTTTCATTAAATTCTTCCCAAATTTTATTAATTAAAATGATTTCAATTTTTATAAGCGTATAAACCAAAAAAAATATTCATATTTTTTTCAAAACTGTTTTTTATGAAACAAGATTCAATTATATTCCTGTCGACCATGGACTTGCTTGATACTACTTTCTCAACTTCTTGAAAATCAATTGGATGGTTAAAATCTCTTACTTGAATGTATAGAGCATTGGAATCTTGTCCAGTTCTAATGCTATATTTATGTTGTTTTAATGTTAGTTCGAGACTTTTACCAGTTTGACCGTAAAAAAAACTTTATCGCAAATTTTACAAGGAATCTTATAGGCACATCCGTCAATATTTGGAGCAGGGAGGGGGGAATTCGTTTTCAAAAGATTTTTTACTGTATCAAGATTTTAAATACGACTTTGACATTAAATTTCTAAAGAAGAGAAGGCATATCAACCAAGTTTTCGTGGCAAGGGAGAACCGACATATTTTTAGTTGAATATGATTCGTTGTCCCTTTTTTGGATTGTAAAAGCTATTTCCAGGAATTTTTAAAGATTTGCCAATTAAGTTTCTTGAGTATTTTAGATCATTAGCTATTTCATAAATTATGGATATTTCTTCATCTATCATTCCACCAATCGCTCTTCCTCCCTCCCACACCCACTTTCCTGTAAACACACACTTCCGCTGAACACTCTAACACTACATTCTTAAATCTATCTTGTATCTCTTCAACTTATTGTCTATATTCTCACTAGACCATCTTCCTTTCAATAGTTGTTTATATCATACATTAACTGCCTCCTCCTGCGGTTTATAAACCTTCACCTCTCTCTTACTTGCTGATGATCATTCTCCTTGTATCCCCTCTGTATTTTACTCTCACTGTAGCTACAACTAAAAAATAATCTGATATATCTGTGGCGCCTCTGTAAACATGCACATCCTGAAGTCTATCCAAAAGTCTTTTATCTACCAATACACAGTCCAACAAACTACTGTCATTATGCCCCATACTTACCCTTTTTTTTTTTTGTTATTGTATGTATTACCTATTACTTAACCCCTTTTTATTCAAAGTTTAATCAAAAGCTCCCCATTATCAGTCACACCTGGCACCCCAAACCTACCTACTACACCCTCTTTAACCGTTTCTCCTACTTTATTCACGTTGCCCCTCCAACATCTCTTTCTCATTTGGTTCATAGGTTCCTAAATACTCGCATAACATCTCCCGGATCATCTCTCTCTCTCATCTACACTCCTCTCTTCTCAAGGTGCATAAACACTTATTATAATCCACTTTTTGCATCCGACCCTTATTTCAATCCACATAATCCTTGAATTTAAGCATTCATATTCTCACTTCTTCCGTAACTGATCCTTCAACATTACTGCTACACTTTAACTCACTCAGATACTTCTGACCTAATCTCATTTATTTATATATATCATAATAATTTTAGTATAATGTTTTAGTATTATCCCTGGATGTAATACTGTATAATAGTTTTTACTCTGATAATAGGATATCCTTAGAGTATACAAAGTGAGAAAACCTGTTATAATGTCTTTAGTATTTATAAAGTTGATTATTATTATTATTATTATTATTATTATTATTATTATTATTATTATTATTATTACTATTTATTATTATTATTATTATTATTATTATTATTATTATTATTATTATTGTTATTACTATTATTACTATTATTATTACTATTATTTATTATTATTATTATTATTATTATTATTATTATTATTATTATTATTATTATTATTATTATTATTATTATTATCATTACTATTACATGTATTATTATTACATTTGTCAGTGTAATCTTAGAGCCACACAGGATATTTGAAACAATTAATCCTGATCCGAGGACTGAGAATCCTTCACATGACTTGTTATCTCTCTCCACTTATTTGTGTACTATAGTTTTGGTATGGTTCATGACGGACAAGGAAATGCACAACAGTGCAGTGGTTCCAAGTACATTATGTCACCATCTGTGGGACCCGGCAAGACAACATGGTCTCCCTGTTCCCTCAGTGTTCTTCACTCCTTCCTCAGGTAACTGATTTTCATTTAATTCTTAGTATGCAACCAAATGTTTCATTAATGCACCTCCCTTTATTATTCAATAAACAAAGTTATTTCATTTAAATATTTATCTGATTATAAAAACAGAAACTACAAAATTTAACTTTAATCTTCACGAATGGATGAATCAGTAGTTGTTATGAATTATTTATCAAGACCAGATGGAAGGAGCTGTGTTTTGTTTATTATTTCCATTATAGCCAAGTAAATATTTTGACTTTATATCTAGGAACACTGGATGATGTGTTACTCATTTATGAAGACATATATGTATAAGATATTTGTATTGCTTTGTTTTGTGTAATACTGAATTCTATTTATATTCTGTTTATATTCTCGATTCACAAATAACCCGCACATAGAAGAGAGGAGCTTACGACGGACCGAAACGTCGTCGTAAGCTTCTCTCTTCTATGTGCGGGTTATTTGTGCATCGTTCCAGTCACGGTATTGTGCCTGTTTTGTTATTTATATTCTCGGTTGCATGATGTGGCCTAATATAATTACTTTCAAGAGGAAGATTATTTTTTCATAAATTCTTGAAATAATCTAGTGAAGTAAACAGAGGGGGAATAATTAATGTTGGTTCAGATATATGACGCTAAGTCTAGACAGTTTACTATCAATAATATATATATATATATATATATATATATATATATATATATATATATATATATATATATATATATATATATATATATATATATATATCCAATTTATAATCTAATGTAAGTAAATCGGATTTAATTAAAACGTAAATTGGTTTCCAGAAATATATGATGTTTTCTTAGCTAAATGTGTTACAATAATTCCTAATTGATTTTATTAATTACAATATATGAAGTTATATTTCAGTCAGCCAAGCTGCCTGCATGATGGCAGTGGCGCCTCAGGTGTTGCTGATGACAGTGGCGCCTCGGGTGTTGCTGATGACAATAGCGCCTCGGGTGTTGCTGATGACAGTGGCGCCTCGGGTGTTGCTGATGACAGTGGCGCCTCGGGTGTTGCTGATGACAGTGGCGCCTCGGGTGTTGCTGATGACAATAGCGCCTCGGGTGTTGCTGATGGCAGTGGCGCCTTGGGTGTTAATGATGCTACTGATAGAACATCAAATGATGGTGATAAGTTTGTTTCACTTCTTGTTTTAGTATACCACGTCTTTCTCTCCCTAGGTTCTCTAACCCATCTAGATACCGAGTGTCTTTGTGAATGTGGCTGGTATATAAGCAATAAGTATGTGTAATGAGTATTTCCTCATTCTAGGTGTTACCTACAAGTAAGTATTATATACCGTTGCTGGAACCTATTAGTCAGACCTGACAGTGTCAGACCTGATAATGTTGGACCTGACAGTGTTCGACCTGACAGTGTTTGACCTGACAGTGTCAGACCTGACAGACCCTGCCAGTTATTGAGTTAGTGTAATATAAGACTGAAGGATCACTGCCCATAATTTCTAGGATTTTCTCATATCCAAGTATTCACACTCATATATTTATTAAAACTTTTCTATAAAGCCACCCGTGGTATTAGCCTCAGTGTATCAACCTAAAGTGTTGGTTTCAGTGTAGCAGCCCAAGGTGTTAGCTGCAATTTATGAATCCGAAGCAATAGCCGCAATGTGGAAACCAAAGGTGTTAATTTCAGTGCGGCAACTCAGGGTATTAGTTTCAGGGTAGCAATGTAATTCATTACCTGCAAATTCTCAAATTCAGCTTCCTTGGAACAATACTTTGCTGGTTTTCAGGCTTTCCCGATTACTGGAAGACCTCAGTTACCTGAGGTCAGTGGTCAGGGTAGGTCGTGTTACCTGTCCTGCAGCTGAGTGTTACTTTGAGAATTTAGTTAGTGTGTATTCTCTGAAGAGCGTAGATGTGTTTAGGTCAGGCTATAATCTCAAAATAGATACATGAACATCACATGTGAGCGGGCTAACTACTGGAAATAGATCAAAACCAATAAATTTTATAACAGTAGAGTTTTAGAAGTTATTATCTGTATGAAGATTCGACAGTGTTACTGTGTCATACTAGTATGACACAATGCTTACAAGTCGTACCTTATTCCTCATCTTGTCGATATTGTATGTATACCATTACCAAACATACAGGAATGAGAATTAGAGATTATTTTCCCAGAGTTGGAATAAATTATATAGTTAGCAGGTTAGATAACATCAGGTCAGGTAATTGGAACGACCCTATTATTTACTTCATTGTTGAAGGAAATGATGTTGGAAGAATAGAGATCTCGCCAATTACAGAAGAACTATTGATTTAGTAACGTCAGTGGGAGAGATCCTGATCATTTAAAGCATTTTGCAAAGAAGAAGGATGGATAGTGAATAGATGATTTGGTCAACTGGTGTAAATTGCTGGTATTTTCTACGGCAAACACAACGTGTATGGAACATAGAGGAATGGGTGAAACTGGTAAATGTAGGGGATGCAATATTAGAGAAGGATTCTCAAAGAATCATACCAGTCTACAGGTATGATTCTCAAAGAATCATACCAGTCTACAGGTATGATTCTCAAAGAATCATACCAGTCTACAGGTATGATTCTCAAAGAATCATACTAGTCTACAAGGCAGACATTGGGTGTACAATAAAAAATCTTAAATATCAAAAAAGTAAAAAATCCGTAAAGTAATAGATTAGAATTTCATGATGAACAAAGAGGAAATAATCTACAGATACAGAGAAGAAACACGAAACAAAAAAATACCTTAACATCTACAAACAAAATAGCGAAAGTTCAAGAAATTAAAAAGACGAACTTATGCTAATTGCACGTACAGGAAATATTAATATTATTTCAATAACTGAGGTATAATTCACTCTTAATAATATAAATATGGCAGTTGAATGCAATATACAGCGCTTATAAGTTGTTTCTTACTAATAGGAAAAGGTTGGAATTGCGATGTTTTTCAGGTAAATTGTAAATCGATGCATCAGAAAAGAGTTTGAGGTTGAATTATCTTAACAGTTTCTCAAAAGACATGAAATACTAAACTTTGGTGGGATGTACAGAGCCTCAGATGTAGTTAGTAACTGAAGTAAACTTCTGCTGGACGAAACTGTCAAGTAATCTAGTTAAAAAATTCAAGTTCAAATCGGAGATTTTAATTTCAGCAGTTTATTAGAAGAAGACCAGGAATGTTTCTTAAAACAATTATCAAGAGACTCAACTAGAAGAAATTTTCTGCTTAATTCTAGAAACCAAATCGTCGGTAATAATCTTAAGATCAAGGAACAGCATGCAGAAGGTCATTACAAAAAAAACTAGTTTTAATACCACATGGAAATACAGTAATAAAATTAACGAAGTTAAAGTACCTGATTTTAGAGAAACAGATTATATGAGTTAAAGGTCCACCAAGTTAATGATGACTGGAATGACATGAGTAGTGATTATGATGAAGGAGATCAGTCCCAAGATGCCTGGAGGCGTTGCCAATATCATTTTTTTTAAATAAAAAAGTATAGTAAATGGATAAATATATGCCATTAAAGATCTCATGGGTTAAAATGAGACGGATTTACAAGTGACTTGAGAAATTGATCATCGCCTAATGAACCAATACATTCAGTTCAACAGAAATGTAAAAACTGTATACGTAAGCCTCCAAAATATTTTGAACTTATAGTTGCCCGGTATTCAAAAATTTGAGAAAAATAAGGCCATTAAATGTAATTCAAGTTGCATGCTGGTAATAACAAGGAAATTTTATAATCTTAGCACTATATCCTTTTTATATATGATATAAAATAATACACATATATCAATAATAATGGAGAATGAGTCCTATGAAAATCAATTCTCAGTTAATTAAATGTTAATTAGTTTTGAACAACTGTAAATTCAGGTGAATGAGAAGCTTGAATAGTTATTATAAAAGTTAGTTGTCCAGAGAATAAGTACTGAAAGGACATTACATAACAATACGAATTTTGATAACTTGAACTACCTACACATATGCTGCAACAAATGTGGTATTAACTTCGCCAGTGATAGAACAGGCAGAGGAAAGGAATTCCTTTTGCTGTGCCAATGACATGGCGGGAGCCAACAGACCGTACCAACAATTATTATCACTGCATGGTACCTCCAGTACAAGAGGGCTTGCCAAAGAAAGAAAAGGAGTCCATTGAATATCCAAACGTTCCAACAGTTATTCGCTCAGTTCCACAAGGAGAAAGTCTACCTGTTCGTGACGCACCAACTTCGGTATCCTTCGAGTCAGAAGAAGAAAGTGGTGAAGAGGAAGAGGAGAAGGAGGACAGTGCTTGGATAGTGTGGCGGCTCTCTTTATTACTGTTTGTAAAATCCTTTAAGATACAAAAAACTAGTAAGGGTTACCATTCAGCGCCTGGCAGGTGTTCCACAAGTTCAATATTACCTACAGATCGTAAATCTGGAACCTTAACTGCATTATCATTTTCTATCATACTCACTTATTAAAGTTAATAGATTTGTAATCTATTGTGGTTAATACTGCTTCAGAAACGCAATCCTGGACTCCTGCTAGAGAGTCGATGGACTTTAAAAGTAAAGGAATTTCAGTTATTTCCTCTTCCTGTTCAACCATTGGCTAAGGTAAGTATCGCACTTGTTGCAGCATCTGTGTTGAGCAAACTTCTTATAATGGTCACCAATCTTGCAACCAAAATATTGGTGATATACCTTTCTAACCATATCAGTTATACGGCGCATCTGTGATGCAAAGGTCACCTCACCACAAATGTAACACAAGTTGTCTGCACTATTCACACAAGTACGAGGCATCTGAAAGAAACAACAAACAATTAGAAGATAAACAGAAAATTTATTCATTAATTTATCATTATAATACAAAACATGACAGCTAAGCAGAAGTATTTATATCATTCTGTAGGAAAATAAAATTAATAAGATATGCCTGACATACATATCAATAGCTTGCTCAGGGAATATTTATAATAAGTTTAAAAAGTGTTTGGTTAAGAAAATCACCAACCATTCACCTCAAAATATAAACTTGCACAGCACAGCCACCTTCTATGACTGCTGGAACAATAATGAAGGTCAATCAGACTGTGAGTGTGGTAAGAAACACACTGCCGCAAGCCGGTTGGAACCTGTTGTAACACGTAGGTCTATATTGAAAAGTAGAACTAACAAACAATTTTAACCATAATATTCATTATCAGTCACCTAAAATTAGTTGGAAATTATTACTCTGGTCTCGGAAGAATTTTGGTTGTTGACCATTGATATCAAGGCGGAAGTTACTGCACATTATACCACTGAGGGAGGGAGGGGAGTGGTTACTGCAATTATACCACTGAATTAAGGGGAGGGGATGGGTACTGAAATTTTAAACCCACTGAGGGAGGGAGGGGAGTGGGTAACTGGGAAAAATTATTAAACCCACTGAGGGAGGGAGGGGAGTGGGTACGCAATTATCCCACTGAGGGAGGGAGGGGAGGGGGTACTGCAATTATACCACTGAGGGAGGGGGGGGGGAGTGGGTACCGCACTTTAAACCACTGAGGGAGGGAGGGGAGTGGGTACTGCACATTATACTACTGAGGGAGGGAGGGGAGTGGGTACTCCCAATTATACCACTGAGGGGGGGGGGGGGAAATGGGTATTGCACATTATACCAAGAGGGAGGGGGGAGTGGGTACTGCAATTATACACTGAGGAGGGAGGGGAGTGGAAACTGCACATTATACCACTGAGGGAGGGGAGGGGAGTGGTACGGCACATTATCCCACTGAGGGAGGGAGGGGAGTGGGTACTGAAATTATACTACTGAGGGGGAGGGGAGTGGGTACTGCACATTATACTACTGGGGGAGGGAGGGAGGGGAGTGGGTACTGCACTTATACTACTGAGGGAGGGGGGGGGAGTGGGAACTGCACATTATACTACTGAGGGGGAGGGGGGAGGGAGGGGAGTGGGTACTGCACATTATACTACTGAGGGAGGGGGGGGGGAGTGGGTACTGCACATTATACCTACTGAGGGAGGGAGGGGAGTGGGTACTGCATTTAAACCAAAAGGAGGGAGGGGGGTACTGCCCATTACTACTGGGGGAGGGAGGGAGTGGGTACTCACTTTTACACTGAGGGAGGGAGGGAGTGGGTACTGCACTTTATCCCACTGAGGGGGGGAGGGGAGGGGATTTACTGCACATTATCTACTGAGGGAGGGAGGGAGTGGGTACTGCAATATAAAGGGAGGGAGGGAGGGGAGTGGGTCTGCACATTATCCACTGAGGAGGGAGGGAAGTGGTACTGCACATTATACTACTGAGGGAGGGAGGGGAGTGGTACTGCACATTATCTACTGAGGGAGGGAGGGGAGTGGGTACTGCACATTATCCACGGATGGGGGGAGGGTAACTGCCCATTACTACTGAGGGAGGGAGGGGAGTGGGTACTCACATTATACACTGAGGGAGGGAGGGGAGTGGGTACTGGCACATTATAACCTGAGGGAGGAGGGGGAGTGGGTACTGCACATTATACTACTGAGGGAGGGAGGGAGAGGTACTGCACATTATCTACTGAGGAGGGAGGGGAGTGGGTACTCCCATATATACTACTGAGGGAGGGAGGGGAGTGGGTACTGCACATTATACTACTGAGGGAGGGAGGGGAGTGGGTACTGCACATTATACCACTGAGGGAGGGAGGGGAGTGGGTACTGCACATTAAAACCAAACTGGGGGAGGGAGGGGAGTGAGTTATTTGCACATTATCTACTGAGGGAGGGAGGGGAGTGGGTACTGCACATTTATCCCTCTGAGGGAGGGAGGGGAGTGGGTACTGCACATTATACCACTGAGGGAGGGAGGGGAGTGGATACTGCACATTATACTACTGAGGGAGGGAGGGGAGTGGGTACTGCACATTATACTACTGAGGGAGGGAGGGGAGTGGGTACTGCACATTATACTACTGAGGAAGGGAGGGGGAGTGGGTACGCACATTATACTACGAGGGAGGGAGGGGAGTGGTACGCACATTATACTACTGAGGAGGGAAGGGGAGTGGGTACTGCACATTAAAATACTGAGGAGGGAGGGGAGTGGTATGACATTATACACTGAGGGAGGGAGGGGGAGTGGGTACTGCACATTATACTACTGAGGGAGGGAGGGGAGTGGGTACTGCACATTATACTACTGAGGGAGGGAGGGGAGTGGGTACTGCACATTATACCACTGAGGGAGGGAGGGGAGTGGGTACTGCACATTATACCACTGAGGGAGGGAGGGGAGTGGGTTAGGGGGCACATTATCCCACTGAGGAGGGGGGGGGAAGTGGGTACTGCACATTATACATGAGGAGGGAGGGGGGGTACTCCATTAAACTACGAGGGAGGGAGGGGAGTGGGTATCACATTATACTACTGAGGGAGGGAGGGAGTGGGTACTGCACATTATACCACTGGGGGGGAGGGGGGTGGGTACGCACATTAAAACTACTGAGGGAGGAAGGGGAGTGGGTACTGCACATTAACTACTGAGGAGGGGGGGGAGTGGGTACTGCCAATTATACTACTGAGGGAGGAGGGAAGTGGGTACTGCACTTTAAAACCCACTGAGGGAGGGAGGGGAGTGGTACTGCACATTATACCCTGAGGGAGGGAGGGGAGTGGGTACTGCACATTATCCCACTGAGGGAGGGAGGGGAGTGGGGCTGCACATTATACTACTGGGGGAAAGGGAGGGAGGGGGATACTGCACATTATACCCCTTTAGGAGGGAGGGGGAGTGGGTACTGCACATTATACAACTGGGGAGGGAGGGGAGTGGATCTGCACATTATACCCTGAGGGAGGGAGGGGGGTACTGCCATTATACTACTGAGGGAGGGAGGGAGTGGGTACTCATTATACCACTGAGGAGGGAGGGGGTGGGTTGCAATTATACCACTGAGGAGGGAGGGGAGTGGATACTACACATTTACCACTGGGGGAGGGAGGGGAGTGGGTACTGAACTTTATCCCACTGAGGGAGGGAGGGGGAGTGGGTACTGCACATTTACTACTAGGAGGGGGGGGAGGGGGGTACTGCCTTTAAATACTACTAGGGAGGGAGGGGGAGTGGGTACTCACATTATCCCACTGAGGAGGGAGGGGGGGTGGGTATGCACATTATACACTGAGGAGGGAGGGAGTGGGTACTGCACATTATACCTGAGGGAGGGAGGGGGAGTGGTACTCACATTATCCCACTTGAGGGAGGGAGGGGAGTGGTACTGCACATTATACCTGAGGGAGGGGGGGGGAGTGGGTACTGCACATATAAACGAGGGGGGGAGGGGAGGGGGTACTGCACATTTTACACTGAGGGAGGGAGGGGGGGGTACTGCCATTAAAACACGGGAGGAGGAGGGGTAGTGGGTCTGCACAATATCCACTGAGGGAGGGAGGGAGTGGGTCGCACATTATCCACTGAGGGAGGGGGGGGGAGTGGGTACTGCACATTATACACTGAGGGAGGGAGGGAGAGGGGGTACTGCACATTATCTACTGAGGGAGGGAGGGGAGTGGGTACTGCACATTTTTCTACTGAGGAGGGAGGGGAGTGGTTACTGCACATTATACATCGGAGGGAGGGAGGGGAGGGTACTGCACATTTACTACTGAGGAGGAGGGGAGTGGGTAACTGCACATTATACCACTGAGGGAGGGAGGGGAAGTGGGTACTGCACTTTATCCCACGGGGGAGGGAGGGAGGGGGAGGGGGTACTGCACATTTTTCTACTGAGGGAGGGAGGGGGGAGTGGGTACTGCACATTATACACTAGGGAGGGAGGGGAAGTGGGTACTGCACTTTAAATACTACTGGGGAGGGAGGGGAGTGGGTACTCCCTTTTTACTACTGGGGGGGAGGTAGGGGAAAAGTGGGTACTGCCCTTTAAACACCATGAGGGGGGGAGGGGGAGTGGGTACTCAATTAACCACTAGGGAGGGGGGGGGTTTGGGAATTGCACATTAACCACTGAGGAGGAGGGGAGGGGGTACTGCACATTATACCACTGAGGGGGGGAGGGGAGTGGTACTGCACTTATACCACGAGGGAGGGAGGGGAGTGGGTACTGCACATATACACTGAGGGAGGGAGGGGAGTGGGTACTGCACATTATACTACTGAGGGGGGGGAGGGAGGGGAGTGGGTACTACACTTTATACCATGAGGAGGGAGGGGGTGGGTACGCACATTATAACCACTGAGGGAGGGAGGGGGAGTGGGTACTGCACATTATACACTGAGGGGGGAGGGGAGTGGGTACTGCCATTAAAACACTGGGGAAGGGAGGGGAGTGGGTCCTGCCCAAATACCACGAGGGAGGGAGGGGAGTGGGTACTGCACATTATCCCACTGAGGGAGGGAGGGGAGGGGGTACGCACATTATACCACTGAGGAGGGAGGGGGGGAAAAGTGGGTACTGCACATTATACTATGCAGGGAGGAGGGGAAGTGGGTACGCAATTTAAACCCACTGAGAGAGGGAGGGGAGTGGGTACTGCACATTATACCACTGATGGAGGGAGTGGGAGTGGGGCAGGATCATGGGGGGAAGGTAATCATAGATAAT